TGGGTCTCTGCACCCACATGGTGGCTCACAATTCTCTGTAACTCTAGCCCCAGGGAACCCATCACCTTCTTCTGGCCTCCACTGGAACTGCACACACATGTTGCATATAACATGCATACAAAACTGAACTCAAACACATAAAATAAAAATAAAGCTTAAAAAAGTAATTAAAGATCTAGTAAAAAAAAAAAAACTTTTGAAAGGGCTGGAGAGATGGGTCAGAAGTTAAGGGCACTGGCTGCTCTTCTAGAGGCCCTGAGTTCAATTCCCAACAACCATATGATGGCTCACAATCATCTGTAATGAGATCTGGTGCCCTCTTGTGGCATGCAAGCATACATTCAGGCAGAACACTGTATACATAATAAATCTTAAAAAAAAAAAAAAAAACCACATTGTTGAAATGGAGTAAAATAAAATCAGTCCCATACTGTTGGTATTAAAAGAGACATTCTCAAGTGTTTGTGACCACTAAGGGATGGCACTTCATGCTGGTTGTGGGCTTTCTTTGTGTGCTGTCTCTTTCGTTTTTTTTTTTTTTTTTTTTTTTAGTTTTTTCGAGACAGGGTTTCTCTGTGGTTTTGGAGCCTGTCCTGGCACTAGCTCTTGTAGACCAGGCTGGCCCCGAACTCACAGAGATCCGCCTGCCTCTGCCTCCCAAGTGCTGGGATTAAAGGCGAGCGCTACCACCACCCGGCCCTCTTTCGGTTTTGTAACATTGTAACTAACACTGTGGCAGACCTAACAACCACTTCCAGCCTTATCAGGCTTGTTCAATTCCCTGCCAAAGGGGCTGAAAATGCTAACTATTTGTTTTTGACTGTTTACCTCAACCCTGGTCCATGACATTTAAGGAGATGAGAAGCCCCACCTCCACCCCCCTTATTTAAAATGCTATCATATGGAGGATGTGATGTCTGGAGTTGTGGCAGCCCTCTTGTGATCAGAAAAAAGCTAAAAGCTAACACAGAGGGAAGGAAGACTGGGAAGATGAAGAGTCCCTGTGACAAGAGTTTTCATGGGAAGACTCAACATAGACATCTGCTTACTCCAGACAGGGAGTCCAAGAGGCCGGGCGGTGGTGGCACATGCCTTTAATCCCAGCCCTTGGGAGGCAGAGGCAGGCGGATCTCTGTGAGTTTGAGACCAGCCTCGTCTACAGAGCTAGTTCCAGGACAGGCTCCAAAGCCACAGAGAAACCCTGTCTCGAAAAACCAAAAAAAAGGGGCTGGAGAGATGGCTCAGAGGTTAAGGGCACTGATTGCTCTTCCTGAGGTCCTGAGTTCAATTCCCAGCAACCACATGGTGGCTCACAACCATCTGTAATGAGATCTGGTGCCCTCTTCTGGCAAGTAGGCATACATGCAGACAGAACACTGTATATATAATAAATAAAAATCTTAAAAAAAAAAAAAGAAAAAAGAAAAACCAAAAAAAAAAAAAAAAACAGACAGGGAGTCCAAGACAGACCAAAGTACGGATAGCACCGAAATCCAACTTGGTGAACCAGTGAGTTTTATTGGAGTTACAGTAATATGGGTGCAAAAATTGTTACCCGCAGGAGCAAAAATGACTCAAAGACAGCTGCATCACCAAGTCCACTCCAGCATGGGTGACAGACAGGTCACAGACATGGGCTACGGCTTGCTCCATGCAAGCTGGCCTTTCCAGCTCCTCTAAACAGCTGCCAGGTAGCTCAGCTGGTTCCTGTAGCACAAATTCTAACTGGTCTTAAGAAATAAAACCCAGGGGGCTGGAGAGATGGCTCAGAGGTTAAGAGCATTGCCTGCTCTTCCAAAGGTCTTGAGTTCAATTCCCAGCAACCACATGGTGGCTTACAACCATCTGTAATGGAGTCTGGTGCCCTCTTCTGGCCTGCAGGCATACAGACAGACAGAATATTGTATACATAATAAATAAATATTTAAAAAGAAAAAGAAATAAAACCCAGAGTCAGATATTAGGGGTTGAAAGCTGAAGGAACAGAGAAGCAGTACAGCCAACCACTAGAGAGACCATTTAGCTCTACCAATGCTCAGATGGAAGGGGCAATCGTGTCCTCAGGCTGTCTCCCCAGACTGCATCCTCAGACTGCAGGGGTGATCCTAAGACTGCAACTGTCTCCACCAAACCTCATGCTGCAATGAACTTCTGTCTCCTCTTGCCTTATATTCCTCTCTCCACCCAGCCATATCACTCTTGTCTCCACCTCCCTAATGCTAACTAACTAACTTACTAACTAACTAACTAACTATCCAACCAACAGAGACCCCTCTGCCTCTGTCTTCTGAGTCCTGTTAAGGATTAAAGGTGTGTGCATGTCACCACTGCCCGGGCTCTAGCGGCAAAGCTCTGCACTCTGATCTTCAGGCAAGCTTTATTTGTTAAAACATAAACAAATGATCACTTCAGGTTCCTGCTTCTTCTAGAGCAGCTGGTCTGGTCCAGTCTCTGCAGCTTGGCTCATCTGAGAGATGACTTGCCTCCATCTTTATTGTTTGCAGGTGGAAGAGAAACATGCGTCTCTGGCAGTATAGCAAACAGGATAGATGGAAATCAGTTTCTAGAAAATGCCTTCCTTTCCAACACTTGAAAAATCAAGGTGCCTAGACAAAGGTTTGGGTTTGCTGATGATGTGAAAGGGACTGAAGAAGTCAAGGTGCCGCAGGACTAAAATATAAAATGCTCCATTTGATACTGAGCCGAATCTCTGAACCAATCAGGGCCTCAACCTGCCTCATCTTTGAGGAACCATGGCTCGCCTTTAAAGGAGCTTCTTCTTCTTCTTCTTCTCTTCTTATTTTTTTTTTAAATGGTCTAACTCTGTAACCCCAGCTAGCCTCAATCTCACGACAGCCCCCCACCTCAGGTTCCTAAGTGATGGGAGGGATTGCAGGTATGACGCACCTGGTTGATCACTAACAAGTACCTCTAGAAAAAAATAGCAATAGAAAACCTGGCTACATCTTGTTTCTTTGATTGTCTTAACTTTGGTGAAAGATTTCTGGGTGGAAAAAAAAATAATGAGTCTTGCTCAACAAGAATTTTCTGGCAATCTCGACTTTCCATTTCCCCACCTTCCCAAAGACTTCCTCCAATGCCTCTGGGGCAGCCTTTCCCCACTCAAGGTCAGCCTGGAGAGTCCCACCCAGGAAGAAGTTTCTTTTTTTTTTTTTTCTAAAGCACTGCTTAGCCCATTAGCTCTAGCTTTTTATTGGCTAACTCTTTTTTTTTAATTTATTTATTTATTAAGGATTTCTGCCTCGTCCCCACAACCGCTTCCCATTTCCCTCCCCCTCCCCCGATCAAGTCCCCCCCCTCATCTGCTCGAAGAGCAATCAGGGTTCCCTGACCTGTGGGAAGCCCAAGGACTGCCCACCTCTATCCAGGTCTCGTAACGAGGGGTGCACCCACACACTAAGACAACAGGAAGAAGTTTCTTAGGCGGAGAATTAGCCCCACTGCTAGCTTCAAAGCAACGCTATGTGGCTTTTCCATCCTTTGTGCGCTCTCTCTGGTCACTGTGACTGCCCAGGGGAGGCAATCAGTGGTTTACACTGGGTCTGAGACTCTGTCCATCTGGGACAAAGGTGAGGTACAGAGGAGCGAGCGAAACCCCCCCCCCCCTGCAATGCACCACGGCTTCCCCACAGCTCTGATACCTTAACCCCGGGTGTTAACTGCACCATTTCCCCTCACGCAGGGAGTTAAAACACTTTACACAGAGTTGCTAAAAATTCTTTCAAATAAATATTTATTTTGCAAATCAGACATTCACTTTCAAATATAGTTTCTCTGTAAATCCAATTTTTTTTAGGTATTATATTTATTGTAATTCACTAGAGGCAACTGGATGGTATCATTTTACAACGGGCGGGATTAAGAGTGTAGATACAATTGTTCCAGATAGAAGGTACATTCTATTTCATACACAGTCGGAACCAGAAAGGTACATTAACTACACAAGCATAAATCTTTTTTTTAAATATTTATTTATTTATTATGTATACAATATTCTGTCTATGTGTATGCCTGCAGGCCAGAAGAGGGCACAAGATCCCATTACAGATGGTTGTGAGCCACCATGTGGTTGCTGGGAATTGAACTCAGGACCTTTGGAAGAGCAGGCAATGCTCTTAACCTCTAAGCCATCTCTCCAGCCCCAAGCATAAATCTTTTAGTTTAATTAATAAAATATATTCATTCCATACAATAATAAAATATAATTGAATATTTGCTGAAGTACTTAAAAGGGTTACAAAATGATCTGGGTTATCACTGAAGGAATGTAAGTACAAGTCTGTAAAAAGGTATTTTCTGAGAACAATTGCTACAAGGTTTAACATTTGCAAATATCTTACATACATAAAGAATAAATTATTCCCGGTTAACACAGTTTTGCCTTAGGGCCATAAAAGCTGTAACAATTTTGAACACCTTAAAGTTCCAAATTTTTCTAGGGTAGGTTCTGCCAGTTTTGGCACACAGCACAGGCGGGTTGGGGGAGGGAAATGCTCACAGTAATGACAGGGTTAATTAGCAGGCAGAGAGGCTTGGAAGGAGGGACAGGAAAACCAGAGGGAAGAGGACGCCAAGACACTAGACAGGTCAGGCCAAGCTCAGGCTTGCTGTGGCTCCAGATCTGGTGCTGAAAGCCATCTGAGAGACTCCAGCAAGACTTGGGCTTTGAGTCAGGCCTTTGTTCCTGAATGTGACTTACTAGGGTGCGTGGCACACTTGAAAGGAAAATCATATTGCCAGATTTTAAACAAGAAAAGCAGTACAGAAATCAAAGCAAATGTCTCCAGTAAAGAGCCCCAAAGGGGCTTTGCATAGAAATACAGGGAAGGAGTGAAATTGGACTTGTGGCAAAAAAAAAAAAAAAAAGCCAGAGGGAGCCAGAAACGCTGACTAATGTTTATAAACCCAGTACTTGGGAGACTGAGGCAGGATAGAATATTCAAGACCTGTGGTTTAGTCCTCAGCAAGTGCCACGGGGGGGGGGGGGGGGGGGGGGGGGGGGAAGAGGGGACAGAAAACACAGTACCCAGCAGGAAGGCAGAGGAACACTTCAAGAAATAAGAAGGGAAAACACGCTGCCCACCGGACTCTTCTACCCCGGTAGCAGCTAAATGTCCCACAGGCTCGACCCAAGGCTGCCATCTGGAAACCTGCCAGACATTTCCCAAGGGCTCTGAAGCCTCAGCGAGGAAAGTTCAGTTAGTGTGTGATCATGGCACCCACACACTATGTCCAAGGCAGTGACAGGAGGACATGCATAGTTATTTATAGCTCAGTGCTTTTCAACTTTATTAGGAAATAAAGGGAGCATAGTCCTGCATGCTCCTAAGTTTCAGATATGCACGACACCCACACCCTCAATGACAGCACAGTTTCTAAGGCCAAACAAAACTGTAATGTTCGGGAAAGGACTCTAGAGCAAATCAGCATGGCCTGCAGAGACCAGGTGGCTGCGGAATGCTTTAGGTAGACACAGGATGTGATCCTTAGCATACCTGATTAGGATGCGGGGAAACAGACAACTGCACACTGTGCTTTTTCCTCTAGGAGAGGATACGAGCATCTGGGCTTCGGGGCCTTTCTCCAAAGCTGTGCTGTGGTTAACTAACTGTGGGAAAGCATTCTCGGAGGCCTGCAGAGTGTATGGGGACAACTGGACGGAAAGACTTTGGGGACTCTTTTTTGAAAAGGGGAGAGCATACATCAACAAAGTGTTTTATTGGGTGGTTAAGACCTTTTTTTTTCTACTTAAAAAGGATAAACTTCTGTTTCACCCTGATACTCTTCTAATACAAAAGCATTTGGTTTCCATAATATGTGGGGCTCAGAATCTTCTTACACAAATGTTTTCTGAAGAGGCAAGAACTTAATGATTTCTAAAACTTGGAAATTACATTCAAGGAACAAAAGGTAGCCTTTATTTTTAGCAATGTGGTTGGAACTGTGACAAGGGCTGATTTATTCCACATATCTAGTGGTGATGTCTCTAGGGGTTTCTACACTGTGCACCAGCTTGTACATTCATGCCTGCGTGAGAGAAAGCCAGGAAGGGTCCCTTGGTGTCGCCGCTTCCCAAATGCTCACTCTCATCCATGTGCCAACACCTTAAATAAGAGGAGAACGCGCTTCTCCAGAAAAACCCTGCTGCACCAGTTCTGTTTGTTTTAAAGACAGAGGAAAGGTGGATGTGAGGTCATCTCCAGCCACAAAGAAATCAATGCGCGTGAGGCGCATGGCAAGCGTGGCGGCTCTCCCTGGGCGAGCGACAGCCCGGGCTGTCACAGGCACACTCACTCATTCTGGGCGCTGTGCACACCATCTAGACAGCCCACAGGGGAAAGTGCAGTGTGCCATTTTATTAAAAAAAAAAGGTGACAACCAGAAGGACGTTTACTCGAAACCCCAAACTGAAGCGGGGATTTCATTCTAAGAATTCCACATTTTCTAGGGAGGTAACGCCATGAGTGTGGTGAGCTCCCACACGGTGAAGGAAAGTAAGAGGATGAAGAGGGGGAAAGCTAGGCGTCTGAAAGACAGAGACTAGGCGTGGCGGCACTGATGCGGGACTGAGTTCAAAGCCAGCCTGGGCTAAATAGCGAACACAGGATTGGCAGCAGTGAAAGACCTTGTGCTGAGATCACAAAGCAGCGTTAGGCACCAGGACTCCCAGCTGCAGGTGCAGCAACAACAAGCACCGCATTTTACTAAGACAATGAAAACAAAGGCCCCTAAGGTGCACCAGCGCAGCTTCCTTGATGCTGCAGCTCCCGCAGCTGGAAGCTAGGCCAAGGTGGAGCGGCTGTTGAAGAGGCAGAGAAGAGATGGTATTCGGGGTTGGACTCCAAGGATTTTTCAGATTTAAAGCTATTTTGTCTTCAAAATGAGTTCCCGAGTTCTCCACCTTACAAACTACTTAAAGCAGCCGAGGACGACACCAGTATTTATTTTTGTCATATACTGCAGGTTTAGACCAAGTCCACTGCTTTGGTCGAATGGAGTCTTGAAAGCGTGGTCCACACTGTTCGTCAGAAAGTCAACTAAAGAGGGGAGCGCTGAAGAAGCATTACAGAAATCCCGACTTCGTCACCTTGGTTACGGATCCACGGTTTGCACAGAAATAAGCAATATGCATGAAGTCAAATTAGGGTTAAAACTTGAAACAAGAAGCAAAAAGTAGGATGGGGTAGATGGGACAGCAATCTTGTACTTTTGAGGCAAAACGGTAGAAATTTCTTTAAATAGGCACTTTATTATATCCACAGGCGATAAAATCCCAGAGCTACTGTTAGGCACGTAAACACAGACCCTGCAAGAGAAACAACCGAGACAGCTGTTAGCCCCGAAGTCACTCTCAGGGATTTTCTTAGGTGCCAGGAGCCAGTTAGAGGGCAGAGTGAGGAAGGGCAGGGACTACAGGAACTTCTTCCCTCTCCTTGCGCCAGTCAAGACCTGCAAACAGTGTGCCAAAGGGGTGCCATCCATGAAACACGGTTAAAGAACACGTCTCCACCCGGCAACCAGCACCAGCATCTTCCCAGTGCAGATGAGTTAAGGGGTCAGGAAGACCTTCCAACGTGAGCTAGAATCACCACAATTGGGGTCAAAGTGCATGCACGTGTGCGATCCACTTCCAAATAAGGAGCAAAATTTTACTACTAAACGCTGCTATAACTTTAAAATATTTAGTTAATCTGAAATGTTAGCACTGACTTGAAATAGTGATTTAAAAAAATATTTATTTTTTTATCATATGCAAATGAGTGTTTTGCCTGCATGTGTGTATGTGCAATGTGTACATGCCTGGTGCCCATGGAGACCAGAAGGCATCAGATTCCCTGGGACTGAAGTTACAGGTGATTGTGGGCTGCCATGTGGGTGCTGGGCCTTGAACCCAGGTCCTTCGCATGAGCAGTGACCTTAAGCACTGAGCCATCTCTTCAACCCCCTGGTGATTTTTTTTTTTTTTTTGATGCCAAAATATTCCTTCTTTGGCTGAAACATTACAAAAGCAAAAATAATGTCTTTACAGGATCGCCCTGGGGCTGGAGATGGTTCAGTGAGAGCACCGTGAGTCTGAATCTCTAGGATCCAGCATTCAGCTGTGCAGGCCCATAATCCGGCTGTGGGTAGGTGAGATTTCATTTGTATTTTGATAAATAAAGCTTGCCCGAAGTTCAGAGAGTAAAATGGCCGCACTGATCAGCCTTATACACCAGGCAGTGGTGACACACACCTTGAATGCCAGTAGCCACACTAGTTTGCTACAGAAACCGGGCAGTAGTGGTGCACACCTTTAATCCCAGCATTAGAGAGGAATATAAAACGGGAGGAGACAGCTCTCAGTCTCATTCTGAGATTCTTGGAGGCAGGATTGCCATTTTGGACTGAGTTGAGATAAGAGCCAGTGGCTGGCTGTTTTGCTTTTCTGACCTTCAAGTTGAACCCCAATTTCTGTCTCTGGGCTTTTATTAATTGTGCTACAGCTGTGTGGGTGGGTGGGTGTGGGGAGGGGAGATACAGGACTGCAGGCTGCCAGCTTAACTCCAGGTTCAGAGAGAGACCCTTCCTCAAGGGAACAAGGGAGAGAGTGACAAAGTAGGGAAGCCATGCCCTCCTCTGGCTTCTTCAGGTGCACACATGGGTACCCCCTCCAAGTGTCACCAACGGAGTAAGACGGTCACAAATCGAAGGACTTACATTCTATTTATAAGCTATTTTCTGTACTGAGCTTCACTGAAATCCCTAAACCATAAAGGACAGCATCCTATCAAATTGAAGGTCTCATTATAAGGTTAGCATAGTATCATATAAAGATACTATAATAAAGTACCTTTATTACTAAGGAAGAAAAATGCAAATTAAAGGAGGTCCTCCACCTACGGGAAACTGCAGGATGTGTTGCAACACAAGGACGTTAGAGCAGGAGAGCCGGCGTCAGCTGCCCGCCTGACTGGTCTAGGATGCTGGCTCATTCTTTCCAGCTGTCTTAAATGCCTGGGTGTGAGGCAGCTCACCTGCTAAGTATTTGATCGTGTCGAGCTTGTGCGCCTCCAGCAAAGTCTTGAGGCCAGCCACCTCGGTTTCTATCTTCCTGTCTGTCTGGGTCAGGGCTCTGTCTTGCTGGGCGTGCTTTGAAAGCAAAGAGGTTGAGAACATTAGAGTCTGCGGGTGCTGGTCTGTGCCCCGGTGCTCTGACCCAGAGCTCTTTCTCAGCATGGTGCAGTCCCGGATCGAGAGCTGGAGCTGGCTTTAGTCTTGGATCTGCCATCCTCTGGCCACACTGCACTGTTCAGGGCCCTTAACATCCTCTGTCTCGGTTTCTCTGTTTGGAAAAAGGGATTAAAAACAGAACAAACCAACAACCCACCACAGGTCTTGTCTCCAGAAGAGCTATTGAAAGAATCGAGAACAATAATCTATATGGCAAAGTTGTTGAGAACCAGACTGCTTTGTACTACCTGCTCTTGAAGGTAGTGATGGTAGTCCCTGTCTAGTCCCTGCAGGAGACAGATTAGGTAGTCCCTGTCTAGTCCCTGCAGGAGACAGATTAGGTAGTCCCTGTCTAGTCCCTGCAGGAGACAGATTAGGTAGTCCCTGTCTAGTCCCTGCAGGAGACAGATTAGGTAGTCCCTGTCTAGTCCCTGCAGGAGACAGATTAGGTAGTCCCTGTCTAGCCCTGCAGGGGACAGTAGACACAGAAGTTCCGCTGAGAGAAGAACACAGCCTTAGATCTGAGAGCAACAGAGCTAACTCAGTACTATTTCTAGCCACGCCTTTTTAGGCTGTCTTGTCTCACAGGTCAAACGTCAAGTGTTCTATTACCATCCAGCTCAGTGACCAGGGGCCAATTTACGTCCTTCTCCAAATGTGAGAAAACTCCAGACCACACATTAACCATCAGTGCACAATGGCTCTGGCTGTTGTGTTAATGTGTGAAAACACCGAGAGAGTTCTACTAAAAGTCCAAGGACGAGAAGGTTCTTTTTGGTTTTCCAAGGCAGGGTTTCTCTGTGTAGCCGACAGTTCTAGAACTCACCCTACAGACCGGGCTGGTCTCAAGCTCTCAGAGATTCACCTGCCAAGTAGCTTTTTAACAGCACCAATGCAGTTAAATAATAAGAAAATGAACCCATTCCAGAGAAAGACCCTTGTATCCCATGAAGGTCCTACAGTGATGGAGGAAGGTCATTGGTTAAATAAAAAGAAACTGCTTGGCCCTCATTGGTTAGAAGATAGGTGGGAGGAGTAAACAGAACAGAACGCTGGGAGGAAGAGGAAGTGAGCTCAGACTCCACAGCTCTCCTCTCGGGAGCAGACGCCTCAGAGAGACGCCATGCTCCCAGCTCCCAGGCAGACGCACGCGATGAAGCTCCGACCCAGGATGGACATAGGCTAGAATCTTCCCGGTAAGCGCACCTAGGGGCGCTACACAGATGATTAGAAATGGGCTAAATTAATATGTGAGAATTAGCCTAGAAGAGGCTAGATAGAAATGGGCCAAGCAGTGATTAAATGAATATAGTTTGTGTGTTGTTATTTCGGGCATAAGCTAGCTAGGCGGCCGGGGTGCTGGGGACACAGCCCCGCTGCCCTTATTTCAACACTACAGCACAGGTTCCAGGCAACACAATATATATTATTAGAGGGATCTACCCTGTCAGCTACACTCACGCTACTCCACCACTAAGGTATGTATGCATGCATGTATGTATGTATGTATGTATATATGCATGTATGTATACATGCATGCATGTATACAGAAACACACACATCAATTCATGCCTTAAACTGAAAATACAAGTAGTGTCTTATATTTTGTCATTTGTCAATCACTAAGACTTAGCGTTAATTCATAAACATGATTTTGTTTTGTTAAGTTTGAAAGTTTTATGGTATTTCAACTACTGGGTATTTATCCCAAATAACCCAAGCCAAAAAAAAAAAAATCTAAAGTCTATGCATCCATGCTTGTCACACTTCACACAGCAGCTGAGTGACAGAAGGAACCCATGTGTGCGTCAACAGATGAATGAATGAGCTGTGATAACACGACAGAACAGCACCGTCCGAAGACGGAAGCTGTGCCATGTGCAGTATGACGGACCCGAGAAAAGGTACCCACTGGAGCCAACCAGCCCTGGGAGACAGATACGCTCTGGCTGCACTGACACAGGTCAGCTGGAGGACAAACCCAGAGAAAGCACCATGGAGGCTGTGGAACTGGGAGGAGGGGGAGTGAACTAGGCTTCATGGGACATGGCTGGGGGCCGGAGAGATGGCTCAGGTGTGTGCCTGTGACTCCAGGGCCGAGAGGTGGACAGGTGGACCCTGGAGCTCTCGGGTCAGCCAGTCTAGCCAGCCACCAAGTTCTGGCTGCAGTGAGAGACCTAACAGCAGGGGGAGAGCTACTCAGGCAGACACTTGATATTGACCTCTGAACCCTACAGAAGCATGCACAGTTGTGCACCCCTCCCAAGGAAAAAGCAGTTTCAACTCTGCAGAATAAATGACACTGGGGACGGAGACGTGGCTCAGTAGTTAAGAGGACTTGTTGTTCTTCCAGGGGCTTAGAGTTTGTTCCCAGCACTCATGTTGGACAGCTTACAATGTCCTGTAACTCCAGCTCCAGGGATCTAATGACCTCCTCTGGCTTCTGCAGGCACTTGCACCCACAGACAGATAGACAACACACAGATAGACAGACACAATTAAAAATAAAGCAAATCTTCAAAACATGCTATTGAATTACGCACTAAACTTCTTTCAGTGATAATTCTTGCATACATTTTGCCACAATGACAAAGGATCCCACAGTAAATGTGCACATCTTCCTGCAACACGTCAGACATGGTTAACCCCAAAGCCATGCACGGGGAGAAGCAAAGCTGAACAGAACGGCAGTCAAGTCGGCCCCGGTCCTTACCAGGGACACCATTTCTGTCCTCAGCTGCAGCATCTTCTTCTCGTTCAGTGAGTACTGAAACAAACATGCAGCACGGGTTACAGTCTGGTCCACTGTCTTTCTGCGGCCCAAACCTTTCCGTTCTCACCGCTTCCCAGAACATCTGACAGGAGACGTCACCCTGTACCCCTGCAGCCCACAGCTCTTTCTCTGAGCCTTCTTATTTATGTCCACTGGCTGTGCCGGCTGTTTTAATATCAACTTGAGTCATTTGGGAAGATGGAACCTCAGTTGAAAAAACTGCCCGACAGACTGACCTCAGAGCATCTTCTTGATTTGATGTGGGGAGCCCAGCTCACTATCCTGACAGTCCAGGGGCTCTAAGCTGGCTGAAAAAGCCATGGGGAACAGGCCAGTGAGTAGCACTCCTCCATGCCTCCAGGATTCTGCCCTGATTTGCCTAAATGAGGGACTACATGTTGTGAGCTGAAATAAACCCTTTCCTCCCCAAGTTGCTTTTGGTCAGTGTTTCCCCCAGCAACAGAAAGGAAACCAAGACACTGCTGATGTGCGGCCCCTCCACTTCTCTCTGCTGTTTCTCAATCTGTCTCTTGACTGTGATATCGCTGGGTCCTGCCTACTGTTAGAACAGCATAGCTTGGGTCCCATTTAGATGGGTTTGAGAGGACTAATAAAGAGGAGGGGCATGCGTTTATTTTAGGAATGACGCTCCCATAGCTACAAGCCTGACAGACATTACTGACAGAAGAATTATAGGAACAACATAATATTAGGAAAAAACTGTTCCAAGAAATATGATCCTGTAACATGATATACTAATGCTATAAAGCATAACATAGAATACATAACAAGGAATACAGCAAAGTATCACAAACTCTCCTAACAACAGCGTCCAAAGAACCCTGCTGTGGGAAGCCACAGCCAAGTGTTTCTGAAGGTCCTTAGCTATTAATGGTAGTAAAAAGACTTACTATGGCTCCCTTGACAATAAAATAAATATCAGACATATTTCCATAATAACAAGCATTAGTATTTAATCGAGCAAATGGCATCCTGTATTTTAAACGAACATTTTCAAGAACTAACATTGCTAACAGGAAAAATAGCAATGCCTTGGAGTACCTACAAAATTTCTCGCTATAAAATGTCCTATTCAAACCCCTGGAGCAACAGAATGTAGTAAGGCAGTGGTCAGGAATAAAAATGCATCCCCAAACTCCGGAATCCTGAACTAAGGACCAGGCTGGTGACTCAGGACCCTGTTACATAAACTGGAAGGGTTTCAGATCTGTGCCATTCATCATATCACCACCAGAGGGCAGAGTGGAGCTGGATGGTCTGTACACCTTTAAGCTCACAGCATTAACAAATCCAGAGATAAGGAAGGCCTACATCTCGACACTGTCACACTTACTAAAATGACGCTCTGGTGGCCCTGTCTCCTGGAACTCCAGAACAGCAGTATTCTATACTACTATGGAAATGGCTGTAATATCACAACAAATTTTTGTTGGCTGTATCGAACTCAGGGCTTCCCACATGCTACCCAAGAGCTCAGCCAGTGAGTTACAACCTCAGTCCTAATTTAAATTTGAAATTAGCATTTTAATCTCATCAAGAAGAAAGTCAAACCCTTCATTTGCTCTCATTCGCTGTCACACGTTTAGGTACCAAGCATGCAGTTCTGCCTGTTGCTTCACAGACCCAAGCCCGACTTCCTCCCTCAGCAAATCCTACACGTTACAGGCTTTCATCTGTATCCACGCCCTGCAGCTCCAGCCTCTGAGATATATTTCTCTCCAGCTTGGTTATGCACAAGCACACAGTTACCTTTCTAAACCAAGTGAACTGCAGCAAAACCTAGCTGTCCGGAGGCCACAAAGGGCTCCCAGTGCAGGAGACAGGTCATTGTGACTCAAAGGTATTTTAAAGACAGCCGAAAGGCCCAGCAATTACTTTGCATAACAAAGCTCAGATTAAGCAGCTCCAGTGTAAGGCTGGCTGGTCTGAGCTCCAGTTCTAGCTTCATCCACTACTGCGACACACTCTGACTGAAGACCCACTGAAAAGTGAGGAGCATGAAGGGCTGTGTGGGCCCCAATGCGTGGATCGGTTCTCACTAAGTGCAAAAATGCTCCACGTGCCCCAGCTTTCTTATGCCCCAAGGAAGTTACGTTACTGTGTCACTCAAGCTAAAGAAGGGCGCTATTGGAGGCCACAGAAGGGCTCCCAATGCAGGGGACTGGAGCAAGAAGAGGGGAGAATTTGGACAGGATAAAAAGTCAACAGGGTGTGGAGGGGATTAGAGCCCAGGAGGAGCATGGGAAGGGGGTCCTGTGGTTTAGCAGTACAACCCGGGAAAGTGGGAGGCCCAGAGTCTGAGTCTCAGAACTGCTAAAAATATGAAAAAGAAAAACCCGCCAGAGCAACCCAACATACATCCACTGAAACACACTACTACTCACTGTATTGAAAAGATGATAGGAAATACGCTTCACCAAAGTTCAGTGTAGAATTTAATATAATACCAATATTTGCTATGTCAGAAAATCAGGGACTTTTCAAGTTAGGGGTTGTTAGGGATTAAGTCAGTATTAAATAGAATGAGTTTAACTTCCTTACTAACATCTATGTAACAAAATCTACTATCTTTGAAACAAAAGATTTAAATTCAATTTGAACAACTTTTTAATTTAAATGTTACTTATGAAACCAAATTTAAGTCTGATGTAAAATGTAATTAAAATTTAAAATCAAGTTGTGAACTCTGATAAATGGACAAGTGTCTAATGATATTTGTATCTTGCTTATAAGACTAAGACTTCAACAAGCATTCCATTCTAAAAAGAAATAAATCAGTGATTTACTTTCATAAAGGAACGTACCAATTCTTTTACTCTGCTCTTCTCTAGATTGAAGTTTAATTTGGTGTCTGTCCGGACTTTGAGTACTTCATCCTGGGCAGAGGGCAGAGGACAAAGGGAATGAATGAGCCAGGGTACGAAATCTGAACCTTCTGAGGGCCCGCTGTCTGTCCCAAGGAACTGGCCCAGCAGGGACTGCCAGAGGCCTTGAGACTGGGACTCAGGACTCTTAGGTCAGCTCTGTGTCTCGCCCTCCCAGGTATCTGCGCAGATAATCCCCACCAACCTGGGAGGGCTCAGCTGTTTTAACCTCAAGACTCGCCTTATAACCTCCCTCACTGGAATCTGAATAAAATTCCTCCAACCATTTTTGAAAGCAAAGACAGACCAAAAACAAATAGTCAACTCTGGTTACATTAAGCTTTTTCGCTAAGATGCACCAACATCTTTTCTAATGCCACCGTTCTTTCCGACTTTACAAAATGACCAGCTGCTGGGCGAGCAACCATCTAAACCCATGTGGAAGACTATGAAGCCGCCCTCTTCTAGAACAGTCTCAGGGACCCAGTTCTGATTTACAATGACTCAGCCAGGCGTGGTGGCAGAGGCTATCAACCCCAGGACTCAGGAGACACAGAGGGAGGTGGAGAGCTGTGGTCTGTAACTTTACACACACTGAGACCCTGTCTCAAGAAAGAAGAAAACACCCTTTTACAACACAATTTCCTTAATGACTGTGGCCACAGACAAGGGTAACTGATACACCACCTGATGTGTGCTTTGAAATATATTACACAAATTCCACAGCATCGCATGCTCCAGCACACAAAATGTACCTGTGACATTTTATCTATTCATGAATTATGGGATTACACACACGCTTGAGGGCAGAGAACTTACCATCATTTGCTGTTTTAACTGGTGGAGTTCAAGTTTTATTTTCTGAAAACAGAGTAAAGGGAAAAGAGTCAGGGACGTGTGACAGGTAAGGAGGCAAACACAGAACAAACGTCACAGCGGACATCTAAACACAGGTGTCTCAGGTCCCTCATTGCCACACGCGACCATGCTCAGGACACAGAACTCCCTGAGCTGGCTGTGGAGGTGCAGCCTCCAATCTCAGCACTGGGGACACTGAGGCAGGAGGACTGTGCAATGAATTTGAGGACAGCCTAGTTATATACTGAGTAGAACACCAGTCTGGGCTATATACTAAGACTTAAAAAAAAAAAATCCCCAAACCCAACCAACTAAAACCGTCATCCTATAATGCATGTGCAACTGGGAAACCAGCCCAGCTCCCCCTTTTCAGTCACATCAAGTGAGGAACTGTGACAGACATTTGTCCTCAGGGACCCCATTTTCTTCTTAGTTCTTCTGTTCCCTCCCACACACACACACCAATTCTGCCCTCAACAAGTTGAGTTCAAAATCAACTGTGTGACTTTCCCTTATGGGACTTCAACGAGACTGAAGACGAAAGCCATGTGCAAAGAAGCACTTCCCTGAGCCACACACTACACTTTAAAAGAGGCAGAAAGCGGGCTGGTGGGATGGCTCGGTGGGGATAGCACTTGTCTTGTAAGCCCAACAGCCCGAATTCTATCCCCAAACCCTAAGGTGGAAGGAGAAAACCAGCCCCGCAAGGTCGTCCTCTGACCTCCACAAGCATGCACACGCATACACATGCATTGTACACATAGTCAATAAAAAAATTGGGGCTGGAGAGATGGCTTGGTGGTTAAGAACCCTGGTTGCTCTTATAGAGGACCCAGGTTTGATTCCCAGCACCCACATAGCCGCTTACACCATCTAAAAGCCCAATTCCAGATGATCTGACACCTTCTCCTGGCTTTTGTGGGCAGTGCATGCAAGCAGCATAGATACACACGTGGGGAAAACACCCGTAAACATAAAAAGGCTTAAAAAGAAATAATATTTATTGATCTACTTATTTTTGGTAGGAAAGTGGTATTCTATAGATCTACTCCTAACCTTCCAGACTGGGGGAAAATCCTAATACCTACTCTAGTAGGATGATGTGCATATTAATATAATAGCATAGACAATGAAAACACAAGGTTCTGTTATATAGCACACTGTATGCATCTACCACACAGAAGTCTAGAATGGGCACAATCAGTGGAAGATTAATCAGCCAGGGTTGTTTTACTTCTGGAGAGGAGGCACGAGAAGGGGTCTGGGCTGGGTTTCCAGGGCTAGGAAAGTTCTCACCTTGATGTGCTCAGCTGTAACCCTGAACAGTCACTCAGTTATTTCCTTGTGCCCTTCTAGGTGTGTGCAGCTGAGCGCCTTAGCAGAGAGATTGTTAGCGTAGCTGCTTTACCTCATTTTCTGCTCGGAGGGCGGAAAACTCACTCTTCTCCAGGATCACCATATCTTTCTTCACGTTAGCAATATTAGACATTATCTGCTGAAGAGTGATTTCCTAGAGAAAGAGAAATAAACACGGCCTCTAGCCCCACTTCTTTTCTCTACCTGCTAAGACAGCTATAAACAAACTAGAGTAGCAGGGCAGAGTGGGACTGGCAAGGGCGCCCTCTGCCCCAAAGTGAGAACCTGGGGAGGAGAACACTAATCCGTAGCAAAGCAAGCGAGTCACAGCTTAGGGAGAGAGACCGCACTCGGAAACACGAAGCTGTCACCTACAGCTCTAGCCACATCTCCAGCCATCAAAGTGAGCTTGCCTGGAATCGTCTCGTTGACATAATTAGCATTGAGCACAATCCCACAACTAACTACATGGCTTTCCTGAAGTACTTTTGCTATGATTTTTGCCTCTGAACTAGAATTAAAATTACCATACACTTTTCAATGGGACACCATCCAAGAAGCCGCTTGAGTATTTATTACAAGTAATATCCTGCTTTTGGATTTCCAATGTGCGAACCCACCCTGCCCGCATTACCTGCTGCACCTTGGTGACCGTATCGCTGTAGACGATATTCATGTTGGTCTCTGTGATCTTGACCAACGCAGACACAATGATTTCCGCTTGTTGAGTGGTAAACCCTAGGTAAGCACACAGAAACAACCGGACTCAGAAGAAAAAAGGCAAAGACAAAGGTGTAGGAAGCACGCACGTTTCTGTGGAGGCCTGAATTCTGAAGAAAGAGGAAAGAATGGCACGGTGGGAAAGACGGACCTACAGGCTGTGGCATGTCTGCCACCTTGACCAGAAGGAAACACATCAGCAATCTCTAACACCGTCCTCAGGTTCCAAATCAAACAAAGTAGAACACATCTGCTTATCAAGACGACTTTATATGTCCCCCATCTCATCTCTAGTTTCCTCTTAAGTTCGAGGCTGAAGGATGTTTGGGTGGAAAATGCCTGCTGTTTCATTCGACGAGAAAAGCTGAACAAACTATAACACGGTGTTTGACCATTTTTCCAAAGCCCACTAAGTACATTAGTGCACTTAATACCCGAAGGGATCTTGGGATTCTTCTTCTGTCTGTGGTACAGGTGGGCAGGCACACAGAAGCGGAGGAGGCAGGGCTTCTCCAGCTACCCAGAAACCAGGGTGTCTGCCCACCCAACAGAGGCCGCGGTGCTCACCTAGCGCAAATGTGTGTAACTGGGTAAATAAACTCAGTGAAGTAAACACGGACATGTTTATTTCAAAGGCATACTCTATGTTGACTCAAAACCTGGTTTTGGGGATGCATGTGCCATATAATAGAGAATTGTAGTCAGCATATTTCTCTGAATATTAATTATAAGGTCATATCCTGTGTTCCAAGAGTACTTTAATGACCGGCGTTTGTGTCACGGCAACCTTTCTGGTCTATGTGTCAGAGTGTGCACAAGTGTATGGGAGTCAGGGGTTGATGGCTGAGGATCATCCTCAATACCTTATTTTTATTTTTTAAGCTAGGGTCTCCCACAGGACGTGCAGCTGGCTGACTCAGGTAGACAGGCTGGCAAGCTCTGCGGATCATTTAGTCTTCCCTGCCAGTGCTGGGATTGCAGGCACATCGTTAGGCATGGCTGTTTACAAGGGAGCTAGGCATCTGAAGTCAGGTTAAGAGAACTTGCTGCTCTTCCATAGGAGTTGAGTTCAACACCCAGCACCCTAACTTTGGGCAGGTTACAAACTATCTGTAACCCCAGTTCCAGGCGATCTGATCCTCCCTTCTGAAGGCACCCCCCCCCCACATACATAAATAAAAATTAAAGAAGAAAAGAAAACAAACAAATGCAAAAAAATCAAACCACAATCCCAAACAGCACAGATGAGATGACTAAGAGTTTAGCGGTGCATGGCGTCCAGACTGGCCACACGCGGTAGAAGGAAGAACCAAGTCCTGCAAGTTGTCTTCTGATCTCTCCCTGACCACAGTAAATATACATAAAAAACCAAACCAAACCAAAACCAAAACCCCCAAACCACTCAAAATACAAAAAGCAAAAAACCCAATAAATCTCCAATAAGCAAAAATGTACTGGCTTTTCCACAGAGAGAAACGGTTAAGAAAAGTTTCCATTGTATTGATGTGGGATTCCCCTTTGTATATTATGAATATGTTTTATTACCATTGGTTAATAAAGAAACTGTTTCGGCCAATGGCTTAGCAGAGCAAAGTCAGGGCCATGTAGCTGCTGAAGGACAGAGACGCCAGCCAGAACCTTACCTGATAAGACACAGTCTCATGGTGATACACAGATTAATAGAAATGGATTAATTCAAGATGTAAGGGCTAGTTAGAAATACGCCTAAGCTATTGGCCAAACAGAGTTGTAATTAATATAATTTCTGTGTGATTATTTGGGTCTGGGTGTCCGGGAAACGAATGAGCAGTCTCAGTTTAGAGAGCTTCCTTATGCAGGGCTGGGGAACAGTTCAACTCACAAGACGCTTACCCAGCAGGCACTAAGCTCTGTCCCCTAGCCCTGCATAAACTGTGTGTAGGCATCTGTAATCCCAAGTAAAGGCAGAGGATCTGAAGTTCAAGGTCTCCCTCAGCTACACAGTAAGTTTGAGGCCAGCCTGGTAAGGATACATAAGTACTTAAAGTGTCTTTCTCAAAAAAGTCCTCAAGCCGAAAAAGAGAAAAAAAAAGTAAGAGGTGAATTTAAAAGGTCATAGTTAGCTTTGGCTGTCGATTCCACAAACCTAGGAAGAGGAAGCAAACAATCTTAATCGAAGAACGGCTCCATGACCCATGGGCATGTCTGTGGGGGTAATCTTTTTCTTTTTTCTTTTGTTTTTTCCAGACAGGGTTTCTCCTGTCTGTCTGTCCTGGAACTTGCTCTGTAGACCAGAGTGCCCAGTCAGGGGGATCTTTTTAAATTGCTAATTGATCTGAGCAGGCCACGCCCACTGTGGGCAGTGCCATCCCTGGGCTATTTAAGAAAGGGTGCTGCTCAAGCCCATGGAATAGGCCAGTAAGCAGCATTCTTCTGGGCTCTCCAGTTAGTTCCTACTGAGTTCCAGTCACACTTCCCTCAATGATGGACTGTAACGCGTAAGCCAAATAAACCCTTTTCTCCCCCAACTTGCTTTTGGTCATGGTGCTTAATCACAGCAACAGAAATGAAATTAGAACAGCAACCAAAAAAGCTTTCTGAAGGCTGAGAAGTCGAAAGAGAAATACGGGAAAGGAAGCTAAGTCTGAGAAGTCACTGAGAGCTGTGCTGACCCAAGGAAGATGCATCCAGCGACAAGGGCGGGCAGGAGTCGGACTGCTTACCATTTGCTTCAAGTAAGCACACCAAAGCGTGGGTGTCAAAGTAAAGCTTCCGACTCACAGAAGAGGGCAAGTTCCCCTTTCTGTGCTCCAGCTGCGGGCACCCAGCAGACAGGCTGAGCTCTAGAAGGGAAGAAAAATGAAGCCAGATCAGTCTCCATGAGAAACAAAAGCCATTCGAAGCTACAGGTTATGTTTCAATGCCTCAGAAACCCGTCTTGTTTTTACAGTGCCATAATCCACACATATGATGTAACCCATTTCAGACATAAAATTCATTGGTGTCTTGTATATTTAAGAGTAGTGCACTCATCCCCAAGTCAACTTTCTCCATCCTGATGGGAAACTGTATCCTTCAGCCAGTACTCCATCTTGTCCCCAATGTCTCAAACAGGGTCTCCCTCTGCAGGCCAGACTGACCTAGATCAAACTACATGGCCCAGACTGGCCTTGAACTCACAGTGATTCTCCTGCCTCATCAGCCTCCCACATCCTGGGATCTCAGGCTGGCGCCACCACACTCAACCCTCTCCCCCACTCTCCATCCCCGCCTTAGATAACCAGGAATCTATTTTCCAGCCTATTGTCCGCCTATTCTGTATGTTTCATATGCATGGAGTCCCACAGGGCGGTCTTGGCGTTATGGTCAACGGTCATCCACGCTGCAGAACAAGCCAGCACTCTGTTTCTGTGTCACTGAAAGTCTTCCACTGCAGAGCTAGCTCACACTGTTCATGCACTCGGTAGCTGGAGGGTGTGTGCTGTGCGCACATCCCGGCTCTCAGGAATGACCCTCGGAGTAGAACTGCAGGGTCCCATGGTAGCTGTTTAAGAAACTGCCAGATTTGTTCCTAAGTGGCGCAACCAATTTTCTTGTTTACTCGCAGCCAAGGAAGCTGCCAATTTCTCTCCACATCCTCACTAACACTTGTTATGATGTCTGTTCTGTAAATTATAACCACCCTAGCGGGCACAAACAATATCATATCGTGTGGCTTTCGCTGCACTGCTCTCCTCTCTAACAGTGCTGGTCATCGTCTCAAAGAAAATGTCCGTCCAAGTCCTCTGTCTACATAAGAACATATTTATACAGGTGTGGTGGCACACGCCTTTAATCTCAGCACTCAGAAGGCTGAAGCTGGAGGATTTCCATGAGTTCGAAGCCTGATAAACACAGGGTTCTATGACAACCAGAGCTACATAGAGACCCTGTCACGAACAACTCAGTTGTAAGCCACCACATGTGTTTTTGTTGTTGTTGTTGTTGGTTGTTGTTTTTTTTAAGTCAGAGTTTCTTTGTATAGCTCTGGCTGTGCTAGAACTTGCTTTCTGGACTCTAGCCTCGAATTTACAGAAATTTACCTGCCTCTGCCTTCCAAGTGCTGGGATTGAAGGCGGAGACTACCATGCCCAGCTTGCTCCTGACTATAGAGTCATCTCTCCAGCCTTACTGACCTGAAGAGTTCGTCACATATTCTAAACACAAGTTTCTTATCAGACTATTTTCAAATTCTTTCTCCAATTATTAGTTAGTTAATATTTTTATTTTTAAATTTTACATTTTTAATATTTATTTTTTATATATTTTTTGTTTTGAACTTTTGAGAAGTTCAATTTTGATGATGCCCAAATAATCTATCCCCCCTCTGCTGCCTCTAAGATTGATGCCATGTGGAAGAGACTATTGCTAACCCAAGATGGGCGCCATGTTTTCTTCTAAGAGGTTTCCAATGTTAGCTCTGACATTGAGGCCTACGATCCAGGAAGAGCTACATATGGCATGAGGTAGCCTCGTTGTTATGCATAAAGTCATCTAGTTGTGCCAGCTCCATCTCCTCTGTGACACTGTCCAGTCAAGCTGGTTGAAAGTCAGCTGCTGTGTGTGAAGGTTGACCTCTGCACTCTCCGTGTGTTTATTACCCAGAACATCTGTCTCATCAGGACGTGGATTGTGTTCCTTATCCTGATTATTGGTCTATTCTAGATGGATTTTAGGAAAAGTATGCCATTTTTTGCAAAGAGGCTCTGAGATATTTGAGAATTGCATTCTATGAATTAAGGGGTACTGTCATCTTAGTAATATAGTAATAATTACTATACTCAGATTAATAAACACAAGACCTCTTTCTATTAATTTAGGTCTTTGCTCCAATCATGTTCTACAATTCTCTGAGTGTGGGCTTTGTGATCTTTCCCAAACTTATCCCTAAGGGTTAGTTAAGGTCACACCCCCGAATCAAACTGTTTCACTTTCAGAGTGTGCACTGCTGTGTATAAATATACACCTGACTCTGGACTCACGGGTGCCTTGGTGGACTTTGACTTTTCCTAGTAGTTCAGGGCGTCCCCAGCGTTTTTACAACCAAGGCCATGGCATCCGAGAAGGAGAGCTTTACTCTGCTCTCCAGCCTGGACGCCAGGTGTTTCATTTTCTTATCTAAATATCCTGGCTACAACTGTGAAGGACAAGGCTGGACCCTGATCTGGGAAGGAAAATTCAGTCTCTCTTCACCACACCTTCGCTGGTTTTAAAGATACTCTTTGTCACTTAAATTCCTACTCTAGGGACAGCCCCCTTTCTTCCCTGCCTTTTTTGGTTTCACTCTATAGCCCAGGTTGACTCTGAATTCAAGATCCCCCTGCTTCTGCCTTCCAGGTCCTGAGATCACAGATCCAACCCATCCTGTAAAGTTATATCAAGGTCTCCATCTGATACAGAAAGCCAAGCACATTGTGACATTTACCTGGCTTTTTGTGCTTTACCAATCACTAAAAGTTTTGTTTTGTTTTTAAATTAGAATAACATGGGGGGGGGAAGGGAAGAGTCTCTCTATGTATTTATTTCTGGTTCTTCTGGAACTTTCTATATAGATCAGGTTGGTTTTGAACTCTTGAGCTCACAGAGATCCTCGTGCCTTTGCCACCTGGCACCAGTAATTCTTTCTATTGTGTGTGTGTGTGTGTGCGCGCGCGCGCAGGACTGTGCCACTACTAGGTGCCCAGAGCCCAGATGAGGCTGTCTGATGTTCTGCTGGCATTCTGTGCCTTACTCCCTGAGACAAGGTCTCTCAGTGAACCTGGGGCTAGATGGGCAGTGAGCTAACCACAGAGATCATCTTAGCTCCCCTCACAGCGAGGTTAAGATGCAGGCAGCCTTCCCTGACATTTGGCACAATTGTTGGGGATTTGAATCCAGGGCCTTTTGCTTATGCAGCAAGTGCTGTTACTGCTGAGTCATCTAATTCTGTCAGAAAAAGGTGTTTAAACCCAAAAGTTTCTTATTAAAAGAGTCATTTTTGACACAAAACAGGGCTAGTTAAAATAAGGAATTTTTGTTCAAGCTACAGACCTTTAGGCACACGACAATCTTGCTACAGATTTGTCTTTGCTCTTCTAATGCTGGCTGGCACAGTGTGGCTGCAGGGTAGCCTGCTACTATGGAGAGAGTAGGAGAAGAATCCTTTAATAACTCAGGGATAAAAGGGTTTCTTCAGCAGGCCTCCCTCATGACCAGAAAAACACTTAAGCTGTTCAACCACCTCTCTTGAACCTTTAAGGTAGAGTGGGCATGATAACACAGGTCTGGTGTTTCTCTGCGGCCTTCAGCAATCATCCCACATGACGGGCCACTTGGGAAGAAGTAGTTGTCACAGTGAGCAGCAAGTTAAGAACAAAAGATACGATAATTGTATCAGCAATGTTTGCTGCCTGACAAGATATAAAATGCAAGGACCTCTGCGTCTGAGAGTAAAAACAGGCCCTTACTTCTTTAAGGAGGCTGCTTCCGTTCCCAGCTTTTATGTTTTTACATAAACTTTGTCTATTTCCTCCACCCAGGTAAAGAACAGCCTTTATTGTGTCTTTGCCCATGTTCTCAAGCTAGCACAGGAAACCTGGCTCTAGCACTTATTACTGTATTTCCACATCTGCATCATCCAGTAGCCCACGTGGTCCAGAGGCAGCTAGATTCACTGTTTTCTGTTTTGGCATCCCATCAGAAGGCTTTCTATACAGCAAGCCAGGAACAATTTTATACTTTGCAATTAAACTATAACAACATTCAGGATCTAGATTATGACACTAGCTAGTCTACCTATTCATGAGTGAACTCATATCACACTGGGCCTTTTCCATCACCATCCATCTAGAGGCAGGACTAGAGGCAGCTAAGATAACAGCAAGTATGTGAGGCGCTTGCCCGGTCCACGTGAGGTCCTGGATTCAATGCTCGCTCTCACTCTACACCGCAGAAAAGTGTCGTGGGGCACACCTGAATTCCTAGCAGTCAGGAAGAGGCAGGAGGTTCAGGAGTTCAAGGTCATCCCTGGCTACATTGGGAAGTTTAAGACCAGCCTGGGTTATACTATGAGACCCTGTTCTGCCCCCTCCCCAACCCCCCAAAAAAAAGTTCTGCCCAACATAAAGCAGACCTAGCTTTAAAAAATAGTGTGGAGTGTATGAAAGGGCTCCTCTGGGAGTCCTCCTAGACCACTTCACTCATCTGCCCCTCTGCTGGACCATTCCACGGGTTGAGATGCTTGACAACATGAGTCCAGAGTGTGTGGCAGCCAATTCCTTGTGTCGAATCAGAAGGCAACTCTTGTGACTTACAACATCAACCCCAGCCTCACTCTTCCATATCTACACAGCAGAGCAAAGCCAAGCACGACAGGGCTGGAGAGAAGGCTGAGCAATTACAGGCACTGGCTGTTCTTTCAAAGGATCCCGCTCAATTCCCAGCACCCGAATGGTAGTTGGTTCACATGTGTGAACACGTGTTCGGGTGCATATGCAACATCTGTGTGTCTGCCTGTAGAAGACCAAGGTTGATCTCTGGCATCTTTCCTGATTAAATCTCTACCTTATTCAGTCAGGCAGGCTCTCTCAAATGAATCTAGAACTCATGGCTGTGGCTAGAGATTGCCTCCAACTGTACCTTCTGAGTGCTGCAGTGACAGCATTTACGTGGGTAGGGGATCTGAACTCTGGTCCTTCCTCATGAGTATTTTATCCACTGAGCTAGGTCCCCAAACCCCTACTGCTATTAGGAGCTAGCAGGGATTTGTACACTTACGGCTTTCTCTCTCTTTTTTTCCAAGACAACTAGAACCAGAAATAGCAAGCTTATTTCAAGAAAACTGTCTTCTAAAAAGTAGGGAAAAGGGCTGGCCACTTCTCAGCTGGCATTCCACTCCTGCTGAGGGAGGGGAATGCTCCTTGCTCTCTGTCAAATGACAACAGCGGGGACATAGCAGCTCTGAATTCCCGGGGACCACAGCAGGAAGTCAGTAACTTGAGGTGTACTAGAATGTAACATGTAATTCTCCTTTCTGGAGATCTTCATCATAGCCCAAGGATGTTTAAACCCTTAATTACAAAAGGAATTCAAAGTTAACCTTGAACAGATGAGAAACCGACTGCAAATTTTCATGGCACAGCATCCTGAAGTGAATCTATCTACTGAGGGCCTCAGGCACAAAACCAACCAACCAATCCTGGGCACAGAACAAAGGAACAAAAATGGGCATGAAACCCTCCTACTGACTCTGCTGTCTCCTTCTTAGAAAATGCATCTCTCCTCATATCTGCCTGAAGAATGACATTAAAAGGGGACCATCTTGTTAATGCAATTAGAAATTTAAATTCATATATTTAAAGAAGCGAACAGATAGGAAGGCAACAGCTTGTCAATTGTACAGTAATCAGGGTGTGGTAGCCTAGACTTTAATCCCAGCACTTGGGAGGTGAAGGAGATCACTGTATGTCCAAGGCCAGCCAGGGCTACACAGTTCTGACCCCGTCTCAAAACAAAAAAAATCAAAATAGCACATAGAAAGGCAAGGTATGGAAATAAGATGCCAGACCCACCTCCAACTCCTATTTCCTACAGGGCTGATATAAGTTCACTGCTCATTTCCCGTCTGTGTATAAACCGTTTCACCTTTCATAACTATCCATTTCTCCCGTAGTCACAGGTATTCTTAAATTTTAGATGCTGGCAACACTCATCGAAAAATACGGAAACCAAAGCGTGGGTGCGGATGGCTACTAATGGACAGAAACGAGTTACCCAAGGTGTAATTATGCCACATTTTCTGATTAGCCGGCACGATAAGATTTTATCTGCTACTTACTGAGAGCAAATTCTAGTTAGTTTACTTTCAAAATTTTACTCAGTTCAGTGATGTCCCTCCCCTTCCTTCAAGTGTTTAAATGACACATCAATGAATCAGACTTTGGTCACCCAATTAAAACTCACAAACGGAGATCCTCTTCAATTCCTAAACATACTGCCTCTGTTTTTTTCTATAGTACTTGTCAAATTAGTACATATAAAGTTAATATGGACAAGTACATATACATATAGAAAACACACATGCATGCTGTATGTCTTGCGTGATTTTGTGGATCTATTACCCCGAACAGCTAGTAAAGTGCCAGCCACAGAATGGGCGACGCCATGAAAGAATCAATACAGTTTGGAATCAAATCAAAGCATAAGGCCATCCTTTCATTCCCGGATCTGCTCCTCTAGGACCTGCACGCCTAGGCACCCGCATCCAGAACTTTTCCCACGTCTCCCTGGCTCCAACAGGTGAATCGGGGAAGACCCGAGTATGCGTGTCAGTGGGTGCCCGGACACACGGGCTCTGCGCTCCGAACCTTCGCCCGGGCGTGGGCAGATCCCTGCCACCTGGGTGACCTGTCCTCCCGCCTGTCTCACCTCTCCGGCTGCTCGCCAGCGCGGCCACACGCCCGGCGCCCAGCGACAGACGGCATTGCGCGTTCCTGCCGGCGCCGAGCGCGGCCACGGGGACGGCGTGCCCCGGGCGCGTGCACTCAGCCAGCGTTCTACGCGGGGCGGTGGCGGCCAGGCGCGGGGAGGGCACGAGCAGGAGGAGCAGCAGCGGGGACGCGCGGGCGGCCCGTCCGCGAGGCCTCAGCCAGCTTCGTCCGCCGGGCACCGGGGAGATGCCGGGGCGCGCAGGAACTCTGCAGCCGGAGGGCAGGAGCCGCTGACGGCCCGGCGTGCGCTTAGGCCGCTCGCCCGCCACGGAGCCGCTGTCCATCCCCGAGCGGGTCACAAGCCAGGGCGCGCAGGCATGTCGTTCCCGCGCGGCCCCGACCACGAGTCGCCGCGGGAGCGAGCGGGAGCCGCGGCGCAGACCTGCCCTTTCCTGCCGGGGCGGGGGCGGCGGGCGCCGTAGTCCGCTGTGGCCACGCCCCCTCCCATAGACGCGGGCTCGGTTAGCCCCGCCCTGGCCCGCCCCTCTCCGGGCCATTTACTACTATTCCCTTCATATGCTCATCCGAACCACGCCCCTTCCCGGTTCTTGCCCATAGCCACACCCTCTCCGGGGCCGGCCTCTGCGTTGCCACGCCCCTTGTCCCCTTGCCGTGTCCTGCGGTCACCCCCTCTTTGGCACAGGGTTGAGGGCGCGTCTTAACCACTTTTCGCTGCAGAGCGTCACGGCTGTTTATCGTGGAGACACTCAGAAAATTACGTTTCTCTCTTTGCCGCAACGATCTACATTTTCATTACGCGGTTGTCCTTAAAGAATAGTAATGACTCCTTTGTCCTTCGCAGACCTGTAAAAAGACCTAGGTCACTCGACTGGCTTAGATTTTAATTAACTACCCGGGTCTCAAATTCTCTAGTGTTGCGTTTTAAGAACTTATTCACAGAACGTAGGGAACTACAGTTGCAGAGTCAATAAATACACTTACTAACTTTTCAGAGTTTCGTGTTTTGAGACAAAGTCTCCCTATGTAACCTTCAGGCTGATCTTGCTTCCTGAGTGATGGGATTAAAGGTATACACCGCCACATAAGGCTACAGTTTTTGTTTTGGATTAGAGCACTGATAAACATTAGAAGGTCCTAGCGTGGAAACTTGGGGGTCCTAGTGTAAAACCTGGGGTGTGAATGTTAAATTAGACTCTTGGGATACTTGAAACAGGTAATGTTTGATTCAGGATTTTTTGAAAGATTGTTGCACTTTACAGTTACTGGTCGTTTGTGTAAAACTGAAGGTTTGTTGAATGATGAGTAAAAAGCACAAGGCACTATGCTAGGAGAGAGAAAAAAAGAAATTGTTGTTGAATAAAAAAAAGAAGAAATAAAAAAGGAAGGATAGGTCTGCTCCTAGGTGTGGTTGGTGGAGGAGACGGTCTGTAATGTCTGTAATTACTTGTAAAAGGGAGGGCAGAGGCAGAGGCAGAATTGTCTGGGGAGAGTCGGACTGAACAGGACCTTGAGCCAGGCCCAGTGTGGAGAGTGGGGTGGAGACGGAGAAGAGTCAGGAGTGTAAGGAGTAGAGGAAAAAGGTACCCAAAATGGTTGAATTATATAGGGAAGGGCATCTGGAAGAAGGGTAGCCCAGGCCCTGGGTTGGAGAGGTTTAGGGTAGGAAGTGGTGTGTGTTAGTCAGAAGGACCCTGTAACAGGTGAGGACTGAGGGATCCTGGAAGAACCTTGCAGCCAGGTCCGCTTTGTTATGTTAAATAGACCCCTCAGCCAATCTGTCTCAAGTTTGAGGCCTAACAGCAGTGCTCCCGGAGCAGTAGGTAATTAGTGTGTTTTGCTTTGTTTTGTTGTTAGTTAAGGGCTGTCTCCTTTCTGCGTGCCGAGGCGGTTTGTGTTTAGTAGGGCAGCGGAGTGCATAAACAGAGGGGAAGATGTGCAGGTGACACAGAATGCAAATAATCAAAAGTAAGGTCCAAGCCAGACACTTAAAAGGCTAGACTATCAATTTGTTAAAATGACAGGTAATGGAAGGCAGGGGTATTCACCTACAGACTTGTGTTGAAGAACTGGCTCAACACCTGTCTCTGAAAATGTAATCTAAGCAAATAATCCACAAACATTAAAAACCTGTTAGTTTAGATCATGGAGAATTTTTACTTTTATCAGTCAAAACTACTGAACATTTGATAATTTCATATAGGTCGACTTAATATACACACAAAGGAAAGACTAGGTGGGGTGGTGCAGTCCTGTAGTCCCAGAATTCCAGAGGCAGAGGCAGGAGGATCAGGAGTTCATCCCCAGCCTTGACTGCATAGCAAGTTCAAGGCTAGCGTAGAATACAAGAAATAGTTGCGCGCGCGTGTGTAAGATAATGTGACATAATTTGAACTGAAAAGGTGGGCAAACAAATGTACAATCTTAGCGGCATGGTTACATGACAGTGGCACAAACAAGCCTTTAAAATTGACATATACTTTTTACACATTAAAGCTCACACATTTTATATGCTCAATTATATTAATTAATATTAATTAGTTAATATTAATAATTAATATTAATAGTATTTAACAACTGCATACACCACCCAAATAAGAGCTGGGGCATTTTCATGTTTCTGGACTAGTCCTAGTGTTCCTTTCCAGTTTTTCAGATCCCCCAGCAACCCAGCGAGAGGCCCCTGGGCTCTGATTTCAACCACTGCAGACTAGTTTCCTTGGTTCTTGGACTTAGTGGAGCCCTACAAAAAGCATTGCCTCGCGTCTAACTCCTGCTTCCTGTCTGACTTCAGTCTAGTGACTGTGAGAGTCATCGACGCTGCATCAGTGGCTACAGAGCCATCCCCGCCGCCTTAGCAGCTACACTTGTTATTAAATACTATTCCATTGTACCACTAGCAATTGCCATGTGTCCATTCTACTGTGAACTGCCATTTAGTTTGTTTCTGGGACTGGGTTTTACTATGAGTAAATTCTTGTATGTCTTAAACTGTATCATGAAAAAGATTTAAAACTCAAATTGTTAAATCATATGATAATTTTAATTGAACCTTATAGATACCGAAGAATTGTTCTTTCAAAGGGACCACATCCTTTTACACTCTTGCCATGGGATGAGATTTTTCAGGTGTTTTGCACCCTTGACAGACTTGAGGGTTTTTTTTTTTGTTGTTGTTCTTTGTTTTTTGTCTTTTTGTTAGGTTTTTTAAAGACAGGTTTCTCTGTCGCTTTGGAGCTTGTCATGGAACTAGCTCTGTAGACCAGGCTGGCCTCAAACTCACAAAGATCCGCCTGCTTCTGCCTCCCGAGTGCTGGGATTAAAGGCGTGCACCACTACTGCCAGGTAAATTAACAATATGTTGTCTTCAAGAAACTTGTGTAAATGTATCTGGGGTAGAAGCAGGGCGAGTAAAGGGAGATGCCTCTTGTCCTCTTCCTGAGTTGCACGCCGACAGAGATTACATGAAAGCTCTGGCTTCTCTATGCTAAAATGTAGCACAGTGTTGACTACAGTGGATAGAATAATAAGGAGCAGAAGACATTTGGTGCTCTGGTCACAGGCATGGGGTGGGCAGCAATGCTTTCTACAGCCCATGTGTTTTATACAGTACGTTAGCAAAAATAGTTCATATATTTGTGTCTATGCCATAAATTAATTTTCTTTCCTTTATTTCAGCAAAATCACTACTTATATTATGAAGAATTTCACATTAATTTGTTATTTTAGCCTAGAGAATACTTAAAAGATTATGGCATAAAAATTGAACAAAATGCTGGGTGATGGTATCACGCACCTTTAATCCCAGCACACAGGAGGCAGAGGCAAAGGCAGGGGCAGAGGTGGAGGCAGGCAGATCTCTGTGAGTTGAAGCCAGCCTGGTCTATGAGTGAGTTCCAGGATAGCCAGGGCTGTTACACAAAGAAATCCTGTCTTGGGGGGAAAAATGAACAAAATTTGAAATATCTACATCAAAAGCATTGAGTAAATGTAAAAACTTTAAATTTAAGTCGTTTTAGTAATTTATACATATTTCTATTAAAACTCTGAAAATTTTTATTAAAAGATCAAACTATTGCAATGATCAAAATGATTCCAAGTTGATATTTCTGTTTAACATTTAAAAAATTGCATGCAGCCTTAGTGAATGTTTTGATATTGAAATGCTATCTGTAGTTTCAGCATTCCGTGCCCACTGTCTATCTAGTCCTATATAAGATAAAGAATTGGGTTCATGATTTACCTGTGCCATGTCTCACTAAACACTGTGAGATGTGGCGGACATGTCATGTGTTGCCCCGACTCGCGGGTTAGTTAAGGGAGACCCTAGGTGGGAGAGTGAGAATTGAAAGGAACAAGAGACAGAAAAGATGGAGACAAGACAGGATTCTGATCAAGTCTCATTTATTAGGGGAATAAACAGGGTAGATACAGGGCAATGGGAAAGAGCGAGTGGGTTCTTACGTCAATGGGTTACTAGACAGCTATCATGAAAAATATTCCAGAGGAGATTGCAGCAAAAGTCACTAATTGCAAGGAAACAGATGTCTTTAGCAATTAGTCAGAAAGAGGGATTGCTAGTAATACCAGAAGGTTAATAAGTCAGAATAATCAGTTCTTAGGCTGGGAACTTAGAAGACAGCAAAAAGTTTTCCACACTGTGTCACACCTGTAAATAAAACTCTAACATTTTGTATCTTCCAGACCAACAAATTGGACATAAAAAGTGAGAAAATGGATGGCTGGCCTTCCAGGAATCAATACTTCATTAGGCAAGCATCTGTTGCTCTGTCTACTGGTCTATTGACTGGCCTTTCTTTGCTTGGTGCCTTCCTTTCTTTTATCACAGATATCTTGGGAGCAGATATTGTACCAGGAACATTTGTTTATAAAATTTTATTATATATTATTTTTATTATCACCATTATTAATTTTATCTCTATTATTTTTAGTATTTTATTATTATTTAGTATGCATGGGTGTTTTGCCTTCATGTATGTCTGTGTATCGTACAAATGTCTGGTGTCTGTGAAGGCCTGAAGAAGGTGTCAGAGCCTCTGGAACTGGAGTTACGGATGTTTGTGAGCCACTGTGTGTCCTAGGACCTGAACTTGGTTCTTCTGCCATAACTCTTAACCTCTGAGCCATCTCTCCAACACAGTTACTCTATCCTAGAAATGTCCTTATAGACATTTAGAATCTTAAGTCAGTGATTCTAAATATGTGGGGAGGGGGGATTGAATGAGCATTTCACAGGGGGTCTGTGATATTCTGCATATCAGATATTTATACTACGATTCATAACAGTAGCAACGTTACAATTATGAAGTAGCAATGAAAAAATATTTGTTCTCTTTTGGTTTTTCCAGACAGGATTTCTCTGTGTAGCTCTGGCTGTCCAGGAACTGACTCTGTAGACCAGGCTGGCCTCAAACT